TATTGGATCATTAAGATATCTTTGTCATACAAGGCCTGACTTAGCATACAGTGTAGGTATGGTAAGTAGATTCATGCAGAAGCCAAATGTATCACATCTATCAGCAGTGAAGAGGATACTAAGGTATCTCAAAGGAACCTTCGATTATGGCATTTTGTTTCCTGCAGCTGATAAAGGAAAAGAATGCAAGTTAGTGGGATACACTAATTCGAGTTGGTATAGTGATGCTGAAGATCGAAAGTCAATAGCAGGATATGTGTTTATGCTAGGTGGTGCACTAGTTGCTTGGAATTCAAGAAAGGAACCAGTAATGCCATTATCATCATGCGAAGCAAAATACATAACTGCTTCTCTTTGTGCATTTCAAGCAACTTGGATGGTGAAATTGGTCGAAGAGATAACAGGGAAAGATCATGGAGCAATTACCATGAAGATCGACAGCATATCAGCTATCAATCTGGCGAAGAACTCAATAGCACATGGTCGAAGTAGGCACATCGAAATGAGGTTCCATTATCTTCGAGAGCAGGTAGCAGATAGGAAGATGAATTTGGAACACTGTAGAACTGAGAATCAGATTGCAGACATCATGACAAAGGGAGTGCAAGTCAAAGTATTCAGAAGACTAAGAGCCATGATGAACATATATAGTTTAGACACAATGAATTAAGTGGTGTGTTAAATTATAATCTAGTGTGTCGAAAAGATTTGATTTGTTTTAGATTTAAATAGATTTTATTTAAGTCTAGAATAAATTAGATTTGATTTAGTAACAAAAAGATATTTTGGGCTTTAGGCTTAGAGTGTAAGCTCAATTATAAATAGAAGGAGTAACCCCTATTTTTGTAAGCAAGTCATTCACAGTATTTTGCAGTTGCAAAGTGAATAATAAAGTTTTCACTGTTTGTGAGCAGAGACAAACTCTGCAGAAATTATTTGTCTTGTCTTCTTTTTTTTGTTTGTCTCATAATTAAATTGTCATTGTGGTAGAAATTCATCATAGATATTTAGTGGATTTCCAACAGGTTTAACGTTTATCAATTAATTATTCAAATCAAAACAATAAAATTCACAAATGAATCAAATGAATTTCTTCGTCCCACGAGATTTAATTCCAATAAGGATCAACTCCTTATAAAAATTAATTTCTTCACTCAACGCGATTTAATTATGATAAAGATCAACGTTTTATCAATTAATCAAATTTAAAAATAATTAACCCATCAAATTATTATTTTTACTAACTTAATAAAATTCAAGATCATTTTCAAAAAAAGATTAAATAGCATTGCCTTCAAATCAAATTTTAAACTGCGTCTACGACTACACAATTTTCAAACCCATACAAGGTTCAAGGATAATTCAAAAGCAATTCTACACAATCCTATAAAATATACCAACCAAATATACGAACTGCGAAATTAGACTCTGATTCTTCGCAAGGAGATACGTAGGCACGCGTTAAAACCAAGGCGAGTCCCTCAACTAAAAAATTAAACATTTTCTTAAATACATGAAAACAACGCTTTTAAATAAAAATTCTTGATTTGCCCCTACGACCTAGAAGAGGAGCCCCTTGAGAACAAGAGAGATGAAGGGTGTCCAACACCTTCCCTTCATGTAACCAAATCACAAACTTATAATCTCTAAATGATTAAGATTGTCCGTTATTATCTAGTCCTTAGGATAAAAATTAATGATGGTGACTCATATTTTTTACCGGTTACGACACATAGCGTGGATCACACAAAATCGTTTACTTTAGAAATGAGTGGAAAAGTTCATGGTTTGACTATCACTGTAGGTTATTACCTACAAACCGTGAATTTAGAAGAAATAAAAATGCTTTTAGAAAAGGAGAAAAAGTAACAGATCTACCTCCCCATCGATTATCATCCACTGAAGTGTGAAATAATGTTTGTGACCTACCAAAATTCACAAATAATGGTGAAGCACGAATAATTCAAGGATATGGGGATACACACAATTGGACAAAAAGAAGTATTTTTTTGAACCTCTCATATTGGAAGGATAATTTGTTGCGACATAATCATGATGTTATGCATATTGAGAAGAATTTTTTTGATAATGTATTTAACACAGTGATAGATAATGATAAGACAAACGATAATGAGAAAGCTAGAAAATTCTTGAAACTTTTATGTAATCAAAAAGAATTGGAGTTGAAACCTCGACAAAATAGAAAATTATTAAAACCCAATGCTTGTTACACTCTTACTCCCCAAGAATAAAAAGCAGTCTGTTAGTGGTTGAATGATTTGAGGATGCCTGATAGTTATTCTTCTAACTTGGCAAGATGTGTTGACGCCATAAATGGGAAGATGCATGAAATGAAAATTCACAATTGTCATATTTTCATGGAACGATTGCTTCCAATTGCATTCAATTCACTGCCTAAGAATGTACTTAATCCACTAACTGAGTTCAGTCAATTTTTAAAGACATTTGTGCGTCAACTTTAAGAGTAGACGACATCATTAAATTGGACCAAAATATTCTTGTAATTCTCTACAAGTTGGAGCAAATATTCTACCATGTTTATTTGATTCTATCGAGCATCTCCCTGTGCATCTTGCTTATGAAACTTTCCTAGGTAGGCTTGTTCAATATAGATGGATGTATCCATTTGAACAATTCACGGGTGATTCAAAGCGATAAGTGAAAATAAGGCAAGAGTTTAAGGACCAATTTATTCACATTATTTACATCGCGAAACATCACATTTTTGCTCTCATTATTTCAATCACACGATGTTGACTACAAGCATCATAAGGAACAAAGTTCACTTCAGTGAAAGAAGTCAATTCACCTTATCAGTTTTTGACTGTCAAGGCTGCCCCTCAGGGAAGACGTGTGAGCATTGACTTTCTAAAAAAGAAATGCAATCTGCTCATGTTTAGATTAACTGCGTTGAAGTTAAACCATATCTTGAGTAAGTATATTTAAGTAAGTATATGTTTTATTGGCTAAGACTTGTAACCTTCTATAACCTATATTTTTTTCTCGAAATAGGACATTTATTACCTACTATTCTCAAAGCACAGGCGAACAACCATCGTCTGATTACACGCATGCCTATTTTCCAGCATGGTTCAAGCAACAATCATCATGTATTATTGCATCAAGTCATGAAATAATACATTTGAGAAGTTTGTCTGAAGGCCCTCGTCAACGTGGATTGCAAATGAGCGGGCACAGAAATTTGATCAATTTTTACTTCACAAAATTTTGGTAGTGAATTTGGAGGAACTAATGGATATAGAGGAGTTGTTGAAGAAGAGCAAGAGGAACAAGATGAATAGACTAATTAAATTTGAAAATTCGAAGTTTATTTTAAATTGCATGGAGGAGTTTGTGTTAACTATTTTAAATTTAATTTTAACTTTATTGTCATTTGCATGGAGTTTTATTTTAATTTTTATCATGTTTGATTGAATTTTAATTATTATAATTATTTATTCTATTAGTTATATTTTAATTATGTTTGAAAATTTTTATTCTATTAATACCAATATATTTTTCATAATATTTAAATTTTTTTACAATTTGCTAGTGGTTAAACTTCAAGGAAAACGTAAACGCATACATTTTGCCAGGGACTTCACCCCTAGCCAATGAAAAATGCTTGCATTTTGCGAGAGACTTAATCCTAAGTAAAATATCTGACGCACTGCACCAGTAGCTGAATCCTTAGTTTGCGCCTACGTCTACATATTGTAGGTTGGAAAATTTTGATTTGATTTTGCGAGGGGTTAGCCCCAAGCAAAATGACAATGTGAGAAACCCCTCACAAACCAATTTGGGACCCCTTATTTTGTTAGGAGAGTATTCCCCTCACAATTTTTGTATTTGTAAAGAGTTTTTGTCATTTATGACAGGATTATCCTTTGACTAAATTCATTTTTTTTTATAATAAAGTATCATTTGATCATTTTCTGTCCCGTTGATATATATATATATATATATATATATATATATATATATATATATATATATATATATATATATATATATATATATATATATATATATATATATATATATATATATATATATTACAATATAAAGAATTTTTAAAAATAAAAAATAATAATTATGATTGAAAATTTATCATTAATTAAAAGAGAAAGAAAATAAACTCAAATTTTCGAATTTAAAAAAGAAATTACTTCAATGTCATTCAGCAACTTAACTTTAATAATCAAATAAATATTTTTTAACGTAAATTACTAAATCAACAATTTAAATAAAAAACATTATTAACCTAATCTTCCATAATTTAGCATGACATTTAAGAATTTTTAAACGATAAAGAAATTTGACATTCATACTTGTCAATAAAATTAAAGATGGCTATTATGATCCTATAAAATTCAAAGAATTAATCTCTGAAATTGTGAAAAAAACTGCCCAATTTATATTTGTTTTAAATTGAGATTGCGATGTTTTAACTTTTTCGTCCTTAAACTTTTAATCATTATTTCTATGTTTTTCCTAGTATAGTATTTCTTCAACTTATCTACTTCATATTTAAATCATAATCAAATATACAAAATAAATATGAATATATAGAAATCATCTGTGTCAATATTGTATAAAAGTCATGTTCAATATTCTAATAATATACCGATCCTAATTTGATTATAATCACACAAATTGATTAGTAGGTTCATGACTAATCTGTATGCTTCCAAACAATCACTCTCGCACTTCCAATTGCAATCAATCAAATACCATAACATATTCAAGACTATATATAAGAGATACTTAGCAAACAAATAAAATATATATTATGATAATAATTTTGCAACTGTATTATTTTTAGTCTTTAAATGTAATTAATAATTTATTTAATATAGGAAAATAATGATTAATTTCGATATGATTATATTTCTTTTTCTATTTTCATATGTAAGTATAAATAGGAATAGTTTCTCAAAGAATAAACCATCTATTTTTTTCTCTTCAATTTCTACACCATGACTTATTATTCTCTCACTGTTTCTCTCCTCCTCCTCTCACTTAAATTATCTTTCTTCATAATTTATCTTCAAATTCAAACAAGTGATGCTTCAAATTTCATCACTTTGCCTCTAAAAATACAAACACTCTCTCAAAACTCACTTTCACCAAACAAACTCACTTTCCAACACAATGTAACATTAACCGTTTCATTAACAGTTGGCACACCCCCACAGAAAGTTACCATGGTCCTTGACACAGGGAGTGAACTCTCATGGCTTCATTGCAAAAAACTCCCTAACCTAAATTTTATTTTCAACCCACACCGCTCTTCTTCATACACACCCACCCCATGCACATCTCCAATCTGCACCACTCAAACTCGAGACCTAACCAATCCACCTTCATGCGACGGAAACAAACTTTGTCATGTTATTGTCTCCTACGCGGATTCCTCCTCTATGGAAGGAAATCTCGCGATAGAGACATTCTCTATTGGAGGCTCCGTCCAGTCCAAACTGGTATTCGGATGTATGGATACGGATACCAGCTCGGGCGACGAAGACTCCAAGACAACTGGCTTAATGGGTATGGATCTCGGAACACTATCATTTCCCAACCAATTAAAGCTTCCGAAATTCGCTTATTGCATATCCGGTCAAGACTCTACCGGAGTTTTAGTCCTTGGGGACGGCCCGGGATTAGGTACATCTCTTCATTACACTCCTCTTATTAAAAAGACGACACGGTTACCTTATTATAACCGTGTTGCATACACTGTTCAGCTCGAGGGGATTAAGGTTGGTGAGAAACTACTTCCACTTCCGAAGTCAGTGTTCTTACCGGATCATACCGGAGCGGGTCAAACCATGATAGATTCGGGTACCCAATTCACTTTCCTTCTCGGATCAGTTTACACTGCTCTAAAGAATGAATTTGCACTACAAACCAAAAACATGCTAAAACCTTTAGGTGATCCCAAGTTTGTTTTCCAAGGTACAATGGATTTGTGTTTCCGGGTCCCTGTCGGGTCGCGTCTTCCGGCATTACCGGCTGTGACGCTGGTGTTTGCTGGGGCGGAGATAAAGGTGGCCGGAGAGACCTTGTTATATAAGGTAAGTGACGTGGCAAAGGGCAATGATTGGGTTTATTGTTTCACTTTTGGGAACTCTGATTTGTTGGGGATTGAAGCTTTTTTGATTGGTCATCATCATCAACAGAATTTGTGGATGGAATATGATTTAGTTAATTCTAGGATTGGATTTGCTGACACAAACTGTCACCTTGTTAGTCAAAGACTAGGATTGGTTTCTTAGTTTTTTTGTTTTATTTATTTATTTGTTTATTTTACTCTTATGAATGAATAAAGTTTCTTTCTTTTTAGGGAAGATAAGATTTGAAAAGTATTAAAAAATTGTAATTTTCGTCCATTTAAAATTATGAATGTGTAAATTAGATTCCCTTAATCACTGATTAAATATGCAGGTTTTTCTTTATTCCTTCTGTTTTAAAATATAATAGAAAAATATATATTTTGATTGTCCTAAAATATAAGAAAAAAAGTAAATTTTTATTCTTTTAAAGGTAAAAGTAAATGTAAATTATATTTAATTTATCTTCTTTCTCGTCTTTTTTATAATCATCAATTAATTAAAATTATTTTTATGCTTTTTTATATATTTATTTCAATAAAAAACATAAGTCAAATAATTATATTTTTAAATAAATGTTAAAATAGATAGAATATTTTACAATTATTCTCATAATTAATATATATATATTTAGATTTATGTTTTCGACAATGATCGAATAATTGTTTTTCTCTACATTAGTAGTACTTTTTATATCCTTTTTAAAAAGATCTTACATATTTTAATTAATATCTTTAAGATTTTTCTTTTTCTTTTAAATTACTAATTTATAAATGGTGGTTCTAGTATCCAATTAAACTAAAAAATATGAGAGTGTTCACCTTTATAAATATCAATCACTATCATCAAATATTGTTATCAGAAATCAAAATCTAAATAAGTGTTTTCACTCTTAGAACTCAACTAACATATTATCAATTGTGGTACCTCTCCTCAATATTTCACAATACTTTTTTAAAAATCACTTCAAAAATAAAATATCAAAATTACATTAGTTATATGTTACAAATAAAATAATATTTATATTTTATTAAAAAATAATTAAAAAATTAAAAAAAAAAATTTATATTTATATTTTTGAGCATAAATAGTTAAATTAAATCAATAAAAGTACTATTTATATAATAATATTTAATTTTTAAAAAATATATTATATAAATTTTAATAAATACTAAAACTACAGGGTTATTGAAAAATTTACCTTTCAATTTTTTTTAATATTAAAAATATTTTAGAGAGGGAACAATTTCCTCACAAATATAAAATTAAAACATTTTAATAAAAAATTCCAAATTATGACTAAATTAGATTTCTTTAACTACTGCTTAAATGTGCAAAGTTTTTATTTAATTTACAATTCTTCTAATAATTAATATCTCGTTAGATTTATATTTTATAATGATTTAATTAATGTTTTTGTCCATATTATTAGTATTTTTCTTATTCTTATTTTGAAAGATTTTATACCTTTATATGATTTATAATTTTCTTTTAAGTTCTTGATATCTCATCATAAAATTTAACCAATATATAACAATTAAACTATCTCATCGATATAACTTTTTAAAAATCACTGCAAAAATTTAAAATATCAAAATTACACTAGTTATATATAAGTTGTAGACTAAATAATATATATATTTTTAATAAAAAAGTAATATTGATAAATATAAATATAAATTAATTAAGATTTATATTTCATTTTTTATTAATTAATATTTATGATGAAAATTAATTCATATAGTCAATCTCACTTATTGAAATAAGACTTGATTGTTGTATTAATTAATATTTATAATTTTAAATAAAAATACCAAAATTAATTTCAATGATCTAATTTTTTAAAATATTTTACTATATTAAAGCTACAATTTTATCAAAAAAAAAAACTAAGTTTCAATTTGTTTCTATATAGTTTGTTGCAGGCTTGAAATAGTTTGTATGTATTATTTTGAAAGAGAAGAAAGAAAAACTCATATTCTCTTTCTTATTTTTGTCACAAAAAGTGGACATCATCAACTACTAAATGCAACGTAGACACTAGACATGTATCCTTTGTCAATCAAATGCAGAGTCGAAATCAAGTTGGAAATTTTGTATTCTGTTGAATTGATTGATGGATCTGTATAGCATTCATTCAACTTGGATGCTCTAAGTCTGACGGAATTGAGGCATAAGATTAGCATGTAGCAGAATTTCAAACCATTATTTAATGAGATTAACTAATCGACAATATATGATTAATAATTAAAAAGATTATTTTATTTCTCATATTAAAAGACTTATTATTGGGAATTTTTTTTTGAAATAATTAGATATCAAATTTTTTTCCCCGCAAATAACCATTTTTAGGAGAAAATTACGCAAATAATCATGTTTCAGAAAACTTCATAAAGGAGGAGTCAAACCAGTTGGCGCCTACACTTTATTTTAAAGGGGATGTGCCATCTCACTTGGCGCCTAGGTGTGAAAGGCTTGCCCTAAGCCAAGTGAGACGACGCCTTAGTTCAATTGATAGGCGATTTTTCGTGTTTTTTATTTTAAATGCGGTGCGTTACGTAAACGATATATGATCAACAAAATTGACTTTTTATTTACACAATATGATTACACACATAACGATTACATAAAAAATACAGATTAATCAGTGGTCCCCCGGAACCCGGTAATGACCCCCAGTTCCGCATCCCCGTCCTCGCCTTTCCCGTGCTGGGTTTCGTCGCGTTTCCTGTTGTGGCAGGGTCGATGGCCCAGCGAAGTCAATGCGTTCTGAATTCATGAAATCGGTCAGATCTCCATATCTAGAAGATCCGCTTTGGTACAGTCGGTTGCCCATACCCTCAAAGTTTGGTCGTGTTGGTGGTGGTGGGTGTTGGCTCCTGAATTCGACGCCTACTATATTTGGTCTTTTAGATCAAAACTGGAATAAATAAAACCAAGCTGAAGAATGTTTCGACGTGTGAAATAATTTAGAGAAAATATCTAAGTTATATTTTAGTCTTCGACCAGGACTCACTATCAAGAGTTCGACTGAGAATGTCTCATGACCTTCGACTAGAAGAGAATATCCTCGCGTCGATACCAAAGGCGGGGGACATTTGAATTTGAATTATTGGAGGGAAAGACGGTTTCGCCAGTGGCTAAAGGAAAGCAATGTGGTTGGAAGCTAGAGGTCGAGGGACATGCAGAGGACACTTATCCTCATCTTAGCGCAGAACCACCCCTCGATGTTTACATAGTTTTTAGTATAAAATAGGAAATCTGTGTAGTTTTCCTGTGTGTTCAACCTATTGTGCTAGTTACTCAAATATTATCCAAGTACCCGCTGTGTGAGAAAGGATAAACTGAGAAATGTACGTTGGAAACACCTCTTTTCATTAATAAAAGTCTTTTACATTGCTTTAATCTTATTTTGCAAAGTTACTTTTCCTGCATCTTTACCTGCATTTTTACATTTCTATTAACTTTCTTACTTTCCAAAACCACAAGTATCCTATCTTTGGTCGAACGTGCGTTCTTCCTGGGTTTCTTTTCTTATTTACATCAACCCAGTATAAAAGTTAGCATATGTTCTGGGATCAATCTGATAGATCCCGCGAGTAACAAAAAGGACTTTCCTTTTTGGAGGATCAGCGGTTGTTTACCAAAAACCACAGTAAACAAATTGGCACACCTGGTGGGACGTTGCTAATTTTTTTAAATATTTTGTTCATGTTATTGCGTTCTTCTGTATATTTATAACGTTGCATGTTATTAAGAAGTGGTAGAGTAACCAACGAGTGTACTGTTAGGAAGAAAAATAGCGAGAGTAGTATGGCTAACGAGCCAAATCATGGAGAAATACCTCCACCAACTATTGGAACAACGGTTACTACCACCATCGAAGGGAATATCCCAACTTCCGTTGGATCAATACCGACGCTAACCACAAATCAAACAGGACCCTTACTTTCGTATGTGGGTCCAAGAGGTCCATTAGGAACGCCCCCACCAAGGGAAAATCCAGGATCTCGACCATTCGTGCCCCCAGGATTTTCGACAGCCTGGATGGGTCGAGAATAGCCATATGGCATGCCAACCACTGAAATGGCTAGCCTTATGAACGCTGCTTCCACTTTTTCAGAACCTTTGGTGAATGCATCATCGCCATTACAGGGATCTGGAGCCAGTATGGAAAATTTGGGTAGAAACCAATTCTTGAGAGGGCCATCTCATACAATACCAAGCCTCACAAATGCTTCGACAGCAATTTTGAGGCAACAGATGGACGAAAGTAATCATGATATGGTGCAAATGTTAGCACAAACTCTAAGTATAGTGCTAAACCCCCTCATTCAAAATACTACCCAGTCGAACCAACAAATGACAGCGCAAATGACGCGCATGACTGAATTCTTTGGGGTACCCCAAACTATTCGACAATCCCAGAGGATACCAATAAGAGCAAACCAAGGGGAAATCATGGAAGAGGATTTGACTGTTAATCCAAATCCTCAGATCCCTAGAGTAGAAATGGAACAACCTAGGGTCGAAATACCACGAAATCCCCCACCAATCCCTAGAGAAATCGATCAAGGAGTGATTATGGTAAATAGAAACCAAAATGCTGATCAATTGATACAGCAAGTTCGACACCAAAATTATGGAACATACAATAATTTGACAGCCATGATCGAAAGGATTATGATTCAAAACGGGATGAACATTGGTTTTCACAGACCAAACTTCACATCTCCATTGTCAGAATATATTCTGCAAACAGACTTAACCCCTAGGGGAAAGGTTCCCAAGTTTACCAAATTTTCAGGGGATATGACAGAATCTACTATCGAACATGTGGCTAGATATTTGATAGAGGCCGGGGAAATAGCGAACAACGAAAACCTTAGGATCAAATATTTCCCAAGTTCCCTAACAAAGAATGCTTTCACTTGGTTCACTACCCTCCCAGCCAATTCGATCCATAATTGGAATCAATTGGAAAGATTGTTCCATGAACAATTTTACATGGGACAGACCAAAATTAGTCTAAAAGAATTGGCTGGTGTGAAGAGAAGATTCACTGAGCCAATCGATGAGTATTTAAATAGGTTTCGATTACTTAAAGCCAGATGCTTTACCCAAGTGCCTGAGCATGAATTGGTCGAAATGGCAGCAGGGGGCCT